TAGCAACCAAAGTAAACATTTTGTGTGAGTTCCAATCATCTCAAAGTCTCTAGGGAAACAAGAGAGGAAACAGCAGTAGTGAACTAGACAGTGTCACATGAACAATAAGTCAAAGTATAGTTTTTTTGTTTTTTTTTGTGGGAACCTAGAAGAGGGAATGCCAGTCTCAGCAAGAGGAATCAGCAAAAAATTCACAAAGGAGATGACACTGACTTGGATGTTGAAGGGTCATGAAGAAAGGACAGGCAAGTCATCCTGGACAGATGGAATAACAAATGTTCATATATTTCTTAGAAAGAAAAAAGACATTGTTGTTATTGTTCTTAGTTGTCATTGAGTATCGACATCCTTGCTTCTAAGGAGCATTCTGGCAGTATTTCCAAGACAGATTTTTTTCATCCTTTTGGCAGTCCATGGTATATTCAATATTCTTCACCAACACTGTAAATCAAAGGCATCGATTATACTTCAAGGATAAATCTTGAAATGTTCTTTTTGTTGATGACTGCAAAGACATTCCTCTTCAAGTTGTCATTCCTGGCATAGTAGACCATATGATTGTCCAATTCAGAATGGTCAATAACAGTCCATTTCAGCTCACTAATGCCTAGGATATCGATGTTTATGTGCTCCATTTCATTTTTGACAATTTCCAATTTTCCTAGGTTCATACTTTGTACATTCCACGTCCTGATTATTAATGGATATTTGCAGCTGTTTCTTCTCATTTTGAGTTGTGCCATTCTGCAATTGAAGGTCCCAAAAGCTTGACTCCATCCATGTCATTAAGGTCGACTCTACTTTGAGGAGGTAGCTCTTCCACAGTTGTCTTTTGAGTGCCTTCCAACCTGGGGGGCTCATCTTCCGGTACTGTAAAAGACAATGTTTTGCTGCTATTCATAAAGGTTTCACTGCTAATTCTTTTCAGAAGTAGACTGCCTCATTTCAAGATCTATCTTGAAGTACAACGTTGTCAGTGATAGGATAATATCCATATGCCTACAAGGAAGACTGTTTCTACTCATTTTCAGTAGTGCCTGGAGAGATGGAATTACAAATGTTCACCTGTTTTTTAGAAAGAAAAAAGTCGTTGTTGTTATTGTTCTTATTTGCCATTGAGTCTATTCCAACTCATGGCAACCCCACGTGTGCAGAGTAGAACTGCTCCATAGGGTTTTCAAGGCTGTGAACTTTCAGAAGCAGGTGGCCAGGCTTAGTCTTCCAAGGCACATCCAAGTTGATTCAAACTACCAATCTTTCAGCTAGTAGTCGAGCACCTAACCTATCTGCACCACCAAGGGACTCCTAAGAAAAAAGGCATACCTCATGCTAAATATACTCTCACATGAAAAACAGTTAAATTGGATGTTGTGACACTAAAAAGGATGACATGTTCTTAGGATTCTGTGTGAGGCACAGGAATGTGAATTATGGACAAAGGACTGGGCTTAGCCCAAGAACACTTTGGCCAGCAGAGAGTTCCACAGAGAATTTTCACCCCTATTGATAGTCCCCACATTAGACTGTGATGTCCTAGGAGGGTTTCTAGGTAACAAAAAAATTTGTTAGCTGGAGCTTTTCAGATTGACCACTTAGAAAGGAAAAGGCTAACCTTTATGCAAAATATTTTATAGTATAGTAATTAAAAACAAATATCATTACCTATTTGAGGGGCCATGGTTGTAGCTTAGTCAGAGTCCATTGATAGGTACCTATTGTGAATATTTAGTCTAAGTTCCTTACAGACACTGGCAAATAGATTGTTACATTATGGTGAGCTGGCAAAGATTTCTATACCTGGGACTGACAGTCCATGATTCTTTCATCAGTTAGAACATGTCTTCCAGCCTATTATTTTTCTTAGATCCCCTTTCATGTGCTTGTTCCTCAGACTACAGAGGAAAGAGTTCAGCATGGGAGTCACCACTGAGCACATCACAGTAGCTATGGTGTCTTACTCAGCTGAGTGGGAGGATGAAGTGCGTAGATGAGCTGCCATAGAAGAGGGAAACCACAGCCAGTGGGATCCATAGGTGGAGAAGGCTTTCCATTTTCCCTTTGTGGATGGGACTTTCAGAACAGCAGAGATGATGCAAATATAGGAAACCAGGTGCAAGCAAATGGGTGATCATTATCAGGGACCTCTCAGTAAGAATCATCATCTCACTGAGATGTTCATCAGAGCAGGAGTCTCAGGAGAGGAGTCAGATCACAGAAGAAATGGGGGATGGTGTTGTCTGCACAGACGAATGGTGAGTCATCAGCAGGGTGTGTAACAGAGCATTCAGACAGCAATGACCAGTGACCCAATAACCACCAGGGCACAGAGCTGATGAGTCGTCTTTGTTGTATAGTGTAAGGGGTGGCACTCAGCAACAAATCAGTCATAGGAAATTATACCCAGGAGGAAACTGTCCATGTCAGCAAACTTAAAGAGAAAGTACATTTGTGTGAGACACCTGGGGAAGGACACGGTCTGACTCCTGACTGTGTGGTTGGCCAGCATCTTGTGGAAGATGGTGGAGGAGATGCAGATGTTCACAAAGGACAGGCTGCTGAGGAAGAAGTACATGGGAGTGTGCAGATGGGAGTCTGCACTGATGGCCAGGATGATGAGCTGGTTTCCCAGGACCGTGGCCAGGTACATGCTCAGGATGAGCAGGAAAAGGAGCTGCTGCTGCTGGGGCTGCCTGGAGAGCCCCGGGAGGAGGAACTCAGAGACACTGGACTGGTTTGCCCTGCTAATGGGCATAAAACCAGGTTAATGCACAACAGCAAATTCAGAAACCTAGACACAAATGGTTACGATATGACAAATCAAGTTCCAGGTTGAGCCACATTTGCAAATTAGTTAATAGTGTTGTTAAGACAGAATCAGGCAGCCAAATTGTACACTCAGTTTCCAACACTCAATCCTGATGCTATTCCTGCTGGAATCACTGGCACTTATTTTGTATATTTAACTTTGAAAAAACACACACGCATGTACTTCAGCCCAACTCTGACTCTTTCTCTCTGCTTATATTTCCCAGTTTCCACCTCCAAGTCCTTAGTCATGCCTAAAGAGACAAGAGAAACAGCTGATTGTTACTGGGTTTATTCTAAGTTCTAGCTGATGGATGTGGGACGCCTACTATTGCTGCGTGGATCTGGAAGAACTTCATGTCTTAGTAAAAAAAATTGATGTCTCCTCTGCTGTAATCTTACTGAGGGAGGTTGATTCTGTAGCTATCATGTGTTCTTCACCTCTGCATAACTGGTCAATGCTTCTCTTTATTCTGAGGATTGGAAAGTCTTCCAAATATAGGAGGGTCCTGAGCAAGTGGGGAGCAGGGGTTTATAGTCTTAGTTCTCTCTGCAGGAAGGATGTTTAGGGGAATCACAGCACGCATTTACAGGCATCTCCATGGCCACTGGGAACAGATTCCCTGAGAACCTCATTAGAGATAAGAAGAGAGTAATTGTCCCATATGATTTTGGCCCCTTTAGACCAAACAATGATGACAAAGATTACCTAAGATTTAGACGTAACTTTTGGGTCAAAACTTGAAAATATTAGACATGGAGCCATTTTGATGGAGACAAATCCCAAACAAAATTCTGAGAGGCTGCATGGAGGAGGAGGTGACCTTTGACTTGGTTTTTGAAGATATGGAGTGGGGGAGAAGTTTGTCAGCCTGAGAAGAAAACAAGGGAAGTTGGTCTGGACAGAGGAAATAGAAAATATTGATTCTTTTTTCATGATAACGAAGACATGACTCCAACTGAACCCACCCCTCAAAGTCAGGAAACCAAGACATATGGTCATGAAGAGTTTCCAAGATTCTGTGTTTCTTCACCTCTTGGTGTTCTGGGCCACAGTGCCCACTAGGGCCTCCGCTTCTCATCTGAAATGTAATTACCCACTTAAGTCCTCAAATTTCAATTTGCTGTTCTTTTGCCTCAGTCTCAAAACTAATTTGTGAGGGCTTTTCAGACACAATCTTATGATTGACCATCACAGAGGACATACAAAGGAGTGTGAGGTAGACCAGTGATTCTGGACCCTGACTACACATTAGAATCACCTGAGAATTTACTTAAACTATCAGTGTCTGGCCCACCCCAGAGATTCTGATTTATTTGGTCAGTACTGGGGACTGGACGACAGGATGTTTGCAAAACTTTCCAGGTGATTCTAATATTCAAAAATACTTGTAGTGTGTGTTTTAGTTACCTAGTGCAGCTATAACAGAAATATCACAAGCAGATGGCTTTAACAAAGAGTATTTTCTCACAGTCTAGGAGGCTAGAAGTCCAAATTTAGGGCATGAGCTCCAGGGGAAGACTTTATCTCTCTGTCAGCTCTGGGGGAAGGTCTTTGTCCTCATTCTTCCTTTGGTCTAGGAGTTACTCCTCGCAGGAACCCCAGGTACAAAGGATGAAGCTCTGCTCCTGGCACTGCTTTCTTGGTGGTATGAGGTCCCCATGTCTCTCTGCTCACTTCTCTCTTTTCTATCTCAAAAGAGATTGGCTTAAGACACAATCTAATCTTGTAGAGTGAGTCCTGCCTCATTAACATAACTGCCAATAATCCTGTCTCATTAACATCGTAGAGGTAAGATTTACAACACACAGGAAAATCACATCAGATGACAAAAGAGTAGACAATCACACGATACTGGGAATCATGGCCTAGCCAACTGACATATTACTGGGGGACACAATTCAATCCATGACACGTGTGTCTTTCCAAACAGACCATCTAAACAGGAAAACCTTGGGTATAAAATAATTAAAAAGTTAGTAATCAAAAAGAAGTCTCATTACTTGACATACGTAGCAGGGTTACAGGTAAATCCCAGTCTACTAATAAACGAGTAACAAGTAATGATGGCCTTCTATGTGCCCCTAGTAATATATTTGTTTCCAGACTGGCTTTGACAAAACAGCTGCTATCTTACACCAAACTGGTGAAAAAGAACTTTGCTTAAGAATGAGATTCAGCATTGATGCTTTAATCAGGTAGAAAACTTCCTGCCAATCACTTTTCTTAGGGCCCCTTCCAAGTCCTTGTTCCTCAGGCTGTAGATGAAAGGGTTCAGCATGGGGGACACAACTGTATACATCACAGCAGCTGCAATGTCTTTCTCAGCTGAGTGGGAGGATGAAGAGCTCAAATACACAGCAAAGATCGTGCCATAGAACAGGGAAACCACAGCCAGGTGGGAGCCACAGGTGGAAAAGGCTTTCCATGTTCCCTTTGTGGATGGGATTCCCAGGACAGCACAGGTGATGCAAAGGTAGGAAACCAAGATGCAAACAAATCTAGTGATCGTTATCAGGGCCACCTCAGTATGAATCATCATCTCATTGAGATGTGTGTCAGAGCAGGAGAGTTTCAGGAGAGGAGTCAGATCACAGAAGAAGTGGGGAATCATGTTGTCCGCACAAAATGAGAGTCGAGCCTTCAGCAGGGTATGCAACAGAGCATTCAGACTGGCAATGACCCACGACCCAGCAACCAGCAGGGCACAGAGCTGATGGGTCATCTTTGTTGTGTAGTGTAAGGGGTGGCACACAGCAACAAACTGATCATAGGACATCACAGCCAGGAGGAAATTGTCCATGTCCCCAAACAGAATGAAAAAATACATCTGTGTGAGACACCCAGGGAAAGAGATGGTCTGACTCCTGAGTATGTGGTTGGCCAGCACCTTGGGGGCAGTGGTGGAGGTGAAGCAGACGTCCATGAAGGACAGGTTGCTGAGGAAGAAGTACATGGGGGTGTGCAGGCAGGAGTCTGTGCTAATGGCCAGGATGATGAGCAGGTTTCCCAGGACTGTGGCCAGGTACATGTTTAGGAAGAGCATGAAGAGGAGCTGCTGCTGCTGGGGCTGCGTGGAGAACTCCAGGAGGAGGAACTCAGAGACACTTGACTGGTTTGCCCCACTCATGGACATGGAGACCTGAGTCCAGAGGCAGATAAGACAGGTTAAATTTCAAAACCTGGAAACACATAGTTGAAAAGGGACTATTAAGAAGATCACAATGGGAAGTCTCTGTGTGACATAGGTAAGTCATCAGGATTTTGCTCCCTGGGGGTTTCAGCCAGATACTCAACCTCTCTGAGCCTCCATTTCTTCATTAGCAAAATCAAAACAAACAGTTATGTATACATAGTACCTCTGGAAGGATGCTCAAAAGATTGTGACAGTGATTTTGTCTGTACATCCTTTTCTACTGTCTGAACTTTCTACCATTACCATGAATTTTTTAAAAGGAAATGTTTTAAAACACTGTAAATATAAAATAATAATAGAGACTTCAAGACTTGTACTGAGTACTGGACAACACGTATATATGTGCAATGGGTTACCTTAGAGACTGACATGTAATAAGTATTTAATATAGGTAACTGATGTCATCAATATCATCAATAATGTTGTACAATAGTTACCATAGGGACTAATATGTACTAAGTATTTAATATAGCCAACTGATTCATCAACATTATTGATGATGTTGCCTTAGAGGAAATATTTAACTTCTCTGAGTTTCAGTTTCATCCTTTTTAATCTGGACATGGTACACATTCCTAACACATGTGCTCAGAGAATTATATCAGCCAACCATCAATCACTGCTTCAAAAGTGATAATGATAATATTGCTGCTGCTGTTGCTTCTTTCTGGGCTTATGCTTACAGAGACTTTACAGAAGTCAGAGTCAAACCTTCTTGGCTGTGTCCACTAAGCTGCCTAAGTCCAACTGGAAAAATTAAAATGAAAATGACCCAAGGGTATAGGCAGAAACTCAGCCAATTAGTGATGCCCACAGTCCAGGGACTCAAGAACAGGCAGGACAGGTACTGGTCATTCCTGGGTGATCTCAAGGAACTGCTGATGAGTTTAGAACTGTGGCTTCACTTAAAACACTTAGTGAGGAACCCCTCTCTAAGGCTTTCAACCACAACAAGAAGTTATTGGTGAGTGGTGTGACTCTTACCTGAGAAGAATTGCAGTCCTCACTGTCACCAGGAGTCCCAGGCTCACTTCACTTCTTCAGAGCTGGACAGAGGTTTTTGGTCAGAAGAGTAAGGACTTGTCACTGGGGATTGCAAGCTGAGTATGCATAAACGAGGAGTTGCAGTGCATGGCCTCAGCCTTTGGTGCAGGAAGGATGTTTGGAGGAATAACAGAGTGATCCCTTTACAGGAGCCTCCATGGCCACTGGGGCCATATTCCCTGAGAGCCTCATTAGAGACAAGCAGAAAGTAATTGTCCCTTCTCCTTGGACTCTTTCCATCCAACACTGATGATAAAGACCTGTCGTCCAAGTTATGTAATTCCTGTTGCAGGATTTGGCAGCACTGGAAATGATGCAATCCTGGGGGTAATCACTAGCAACAACCCTTCTGCTAAAGAGAACTCACAATCCTATACTTTATACCTCCCCAACCTTGGATGGTATCACTGTTGGGAAATATACATGGAGCTGTATAGGGATTAAGAGTATCTGTGGATTCACAGAGACCTGTTCTCAATTCCCAGATTCAGCTTCACCAGTTGTGTGACCTCAGTTGTTGTTGTTAGGTGCCATCAAGTTGGCTCCAACTCATAGTGACCTTATGTATAGCAGAATGAAACGTTGCCCAGTCAGGCACCATCCTCACAATAGTAGGTATTTTTGAGCCCACCAGTGGTTAAGAACTTGGCTCTAACCAAAAAGTCAGCAGTTTGAATCCACCAGCAGCTCCTTGGGAACCCTATGGGGCAGTTCTTCTCTGTCTTATAAGGTCACTATGAGTCAGAATTGACTCGATAGCAACTGATTTGATTTGGTTTATTGTAGCCACTGTATCAATCATCTCGTTGAGGGTTTCTTTCTTTTTCACTGATCCTTTTCTCTACCAAGCGTAATATCCTTCTCCAGGAATTCATCCTGCCTGATAACATGTGCAAATTAAGTGACCTGTCCTCACTGAATCACAAAATTTCACCATCTGTAGAGTGAAGAAATAATATTCACCTTGTAGAGTTGTGACGACTAAATGAGGTAGTTTATGTTAAGCACCCCATGAGCCCTAACCTCATCAAAGTACTGGGTTAGGACCATGTCCACTAGGTGAAGATTAAAGATATATTAAATGATATTTACAGTCTTCACTCTCTGCTCAATCACCTGCACTTTGGATAAATATCATTTGAAAACAGTGTCACATGCTTGTCTTTGTATCTCAATACTCATTTTTATAAGGGACTAGATGACAAGTCTTCTCTTCAGCATTTTAGTGTTTGAGTAAATGAGGTAGAAATAGGAACCCTTGATGAACGCTTATAAACTGGTAGAATTAGGGCATCAATGAGGAACAGAGAATTCCTGAGTTCAGCAGGTATCACAATTCAAGAATTTTCCTCTATAGTTGTTCTGAAGACAATATCTGGCTTTAATGTGTACATAAAGCATTTGACCTTATACACTGTAAAGTTTATTTTCCTGGGTTGATAATGTTAAAGAATTACGCGTAAATACCATGCACCCTGAGTTAGATGTAGTAGTTGCATCCCTGAAAAATTGTCCTCTGGACACCAGAAAGTTCCTCTAACTTATCTTCCACTTGGAGTTATTTATAAACAATGTGTTCCTCATGCTGACTGTGATGTCTTAATAAATAGCATTCACAAACACACAGTAACTCAAGATAAGAAACTTACAGAACAATGAACCCTCATGTATCCATCAAACACATGCTAACAGACGTCAAGTTTTATTCATTCTTCCTCACAGGGAGGAACACCCCACCCCAAAGCTAATTAGAAAAGATTAGAGGGGAATAGTTACTGAATTAGTAATGACATTTGTTTTCAAGTGATAGAAAACAATCCATATTAGCTTAAATAGAAATGGAATCTGTTAATTGATATAATTCCAAAGTCCATGATATCTGCTTGCAAAGCCTGTGTGTTTCAGGTAGGGCTAGATTCAAGTACCCAAATAACAGCATCCATTGGGCGGCGGCGGGGAAGACTTGTTGCCCTCAAGTCGATTCCAACTCATAGCAACCCTGTATGACAGAGTAGAACTGCCCCATGGGTTTCCAAGTAGCAGCTGGTGGATTCAAACTCCCAAACTTTTGGTTAGCAGCTGAGCTCTTAACCACTGCACCACCAGGGCTCTAATAATGGCATCAGGAATTTGTATTTCTCAACTCTGTTTATATCTGTTCAACTTCATTCTGCATACTGTCTCTCTCCAAGTGGCAGGCAAGATGGCCATGAGTTCTCCAAACTCACATTCTCCCAGAGTAGCAATTCCAAGGCACATAGAACTCAGGTGTCCTGCATGGAAGAAAAGAATTCTACCACTGAACCACCACTGCCCCCATAAACCAGTTGCCTTCAAATTGATTCTGACTCATGGTGACCCTATGTGTGTCAGAGTAGAACTGTAGTCCATAGGGTTTTCAAAGACCTGACAACCTACTTTCTATGCGAAGTAGATTGTCAAGACTTTCTTCTGAGATAATTCTGGGTGGATTCAAACAAACCCTTTGGTTAGCAGCCAAGTGCGTTAACTATTTGCACTACCCAGTGACTCTGAATTTCTTTCTCTACCAATGTTTATTTATTAACTCCAGGAAAATTATCAGCCTGACTTGGCTCATGTTCCCAAGATGAACCAACCATTCTTGATGGGAGAGTGGGGTATTCCAGTTAGCCTGGGTCATAAACCCACTCCATGGCAGATGGGGTATCTAGGGATGGACATTATCACCAGGACTGAAAGAAGTAGGGGAGGAGTTTCCCGAACAGATGTGAAGAATGGAAATGGGAAGGGACGCTCATGAACAAGGAGTCTAGTTATCACGAACCACTAGAGTCACACCATCAGCAGGGTAAAGAAAAGGACTGGAGAAGAAAGAAGCACTTAAGATCAAGAGAGAAAATACTAAGGTGTTTTAAAAGTTAAGGTGAAGTAAAAAAACCTGTAAGCAAATGATAGCCCAATATCAATGAGCTCCCTTAGAACCAAGATCTTGGCTTCTAAATACCAATCCCTAATGAAATGAAATGGGATGCCTTAGAGAAATGGCTGATTGCAGCTTGGGGCAGAAAAAGATTGAATGAATCACCACCTCTGTATATTGTTTAATGTACTATTCTTTCAACTTCTCTTAGGTTTGAACATTTTGAAAATAGCGTTGTAAATAAACAGAGTTGTTTTTTTGTTTGCTTTTAAGGAATACAGGTGCCAGCTTCAAAACGTTATCCCACTGGCCAAATGTGGAACGATTTGAGCATCAAAAAAAATAACAACTTTAAGTGACTATGATGTATCAAATAAATTAAAATCTGTGAATCAATAGTAATATTATAAAAACAGAGAGAGAAATTTAAAGCTACTTTGCCTTAATTGGAGGGCCACAGGAACCAGGCCTACCTGGCAGCAGCGGCCACACCCAGGGGCGAATCCGAGATGCCCCAGCGCAGTCTCGTGGGTTCGCATGGGCTATCGTCTATCTGTCCTCGGGTCCGAGGGAGTCCCGATCCCTGAGTCACGTGAGCTCTGGGCTGAGCTGGTCCTGTCCCTTTGATGCTCCTCCCCGCAGCCAGGAGCTTGTCACCTGCTTCCTCCCAGGGAGGGCTGCGCCTGGCAACCCACCCACCGGAGCCCCCTCTCCTCTTCACTTTTGCCAGCATTTCTAAGAGTGCTGTTTGATTCTTTCTTAATCCTCTAGAGCATTTTACATGGTTCCTGTTCGGGAAGGTATTTGCATTTTTGTCTTCCATTTATTTAGAAGTAATAAAGATTAAAAAATATTACCGTGGACTATATTTCAACTCATGGTGGCCCCGTGTGTTAGCGAGTAGTGCTGCTTCATGGGGATTTCTTGGCTGTAATCTTTACAGAAGCAGATTGCCAGGCTTTTCCTCTGCAGCGCCAAACTTCCAAACTTTAGT